ATCAATAATGCACCATACATACTGGCTGCCTGCTACAGTATACTTTTACTATTGTGGGTGTCATGTGCCGTGTCGGGTCCAAATTAACAAGACGCTTAAAAAAAAAACAAGCAAATAAACAAAAATCTTAAAACAGATGCATTAATAGTTCAAAACTATGATACTTATATTTGTGGACAGACTATTCTGTGTAACACTACACAAGCCTCTCTAATAGTGCCTTTAAACGTGATCCTTTGTTGTTACTTTGCTGTCTAGACTGATTATTAATTAGTTTTTGTTCTTTAAGTCATCCAGCTATTTATCAACAGAGGTTCCAACCCTAACCCACAGGTAAATTTACCTTAATTTCACCAACTTAGACTGCAGTAGCTTTTATTCAAAAGATGCAGGGCATTTTAAAATGTGGCAAGTTCAAAACTGGATTTGTGCTGCTACACAGAGCTCCCCATGGCTATGGTGCAGAACAAAGACCATCAGCTGCAGTCTAAGCTAGTGGAGCTGGAGCAGCTATTGGCCGCAAAGTGCAATATTTGCAAGACTCCTTTTACTGTGCTCACAGATACTCGCATGCTTATTGAGCCCAATTCTTTTAATTCTTTTTTTTTTTTTTTTTTAAAAATAACCCCAAAACAAAACAAAAAAAAACTCATGATGTGATATTATAGTATATCGTTTTTGGCAGGCCATCCATTTGGAAGGTTCACTACAGTTTCAGATGTTCTCCTTTTGTGGATAATGGCTCTCCCCATGGTTCATTGGAGTTCCAAAGCTTGAGAAAGGCTTTGGAACTATTTCCAAATTAGACAAATGTCACTGACTTTGTTTTTTTATCTGTTCTTGAGTTTCTTCAGATCGCAGCATGATGTGTTCCTCTTTGAGATCTTTCAGCCTATTTCACTTTGTCCAACTGGTTTTATTTAAAGGATTTCTGTCTGGAGGTAATCAGCCATGAGGTGAGTGTGGCTAGTGAATTTGAACTCCGCATTCCAAAGGAAAAAAAAAGTCACACCTAATTCCTGATTCAACAAAAGGGGATTTCCACATTGGTAGGTTTGGATGAAAAACAAAACATTTAAAAACTGCAGTTTGTGTTTAGTCTGGTTATCAATTTCTTTGATAATGTGAAACATGCAAGTGTGACAAATATGCAAAAAGATATAGGGTGCAAGTACTTGTTCACAGCACTGTATACTACTCCCTGAGGTTCAATATTTTAGCACTGAGAGACATCAAACTCTGATGCAGCTGTAGAAGGTGAAACTGACTAACTAGAGAAACGGTCTACCATTTCACTTATTCAGCGAAAAACTAGATGTGGGCCTTTTCCGCATGTGAAGTGAACATAGCCTAACTGTGTTTAAAGTAAAATGGAAAACAACATGCTACAGTCATCAACACAGAAACAGTCCCCTAAAAGCTCATAATAATAATAATGATGATATTAATGCAAGTGGATCTCTATGCAACTCCATTTTTACTTAATTTTCACATTAAAAAGTCAGTGAAGGTGTAGGCCTAAAAATAGATCAAAACATATCTTCATTACCCCCAGTAAGAGCTTCTTCCACCTCTGACAGCAAACCAAGCTCGGTGTGAGATACAAATGACAGAGCGGTGCCCGGGTTGTCTGCTCTTGCCGTTCTGCAAAAATAAAAGTGGCCATCAGAGTTTGATTTTTAGTAAAGATTATCATGTCAGTTTTTTTTAAAAGAAACTTTACATACCTTCCAACTCGATGAATATACGATTCCACAGTTTTTGGGAAATCAAAGTTAATTACATTGGCAACATTTTGGAAGTCCACACCTCTTGACACTCCATACTCTTTATCTTTAGCTCTAAAGAGACAACAAAACAGTCAACACAGTGTCCAAATGCAATTTTTAAACAGGCTGGTTCTACCATCCAATATCTGACGACATGGGTTACGCCACATAATGTGGAGTTTTCAATGTGCCTGCAAACACAGCTTGTTTATAAGGTTTAAATGTATTTATTGAAATGGTAAAATCTCAACTTCAACAGTCCAACTTAACATCAAACTCTTTTTCCACTGATAAAAACCAACAACCTGAAAGCTTCCATTTATCCATCCATCCTCTCCTGCTAACCCTTATCAGGGTCGTGGAGAGACTGGAGCCTTTTGTTTGACTACATTACTGTCTGTAATATTGTTAAAGTCCTAAATTATCACCTTTAAAGTGTTTGCACTCATAACATCATGTACAGTAAGACAGGCATGGAGAACAGTGGCGAGGCAGCCCAGGCGGAGAAATTTTGCTTTTAGACTTTGTGACTCATTTAATTTCTATATCTCATGGAGAGAAAAAAAGAACTATCCAATCAGATAGGTATTTGTGGTGAATGAAATACAGTTACAGTTTCAAGCAGTTTTAAGCACCACATCCAAAATTCAAGCACTTTTCAAACCACGAAAGGGCAATGTTAAAATTTAAGCAATTTCTAGGATTTCAAGCACCCGTA